AACTTGCAATAAATTGACGTAAGGAACCAAATGGGGCCAAAACCACTGCTGGCTGGGTAGAGAGGCCATTTGCTGCTTTTCTTTCTCCGCATCCCCAAGGAGAGTCTTCCTTTTGTGCTCCTTAAGGATCCCCTGGGCAGTGTCTACTCCATTGCTCTGGCTAGGTGTTTTACCTACTCCTTTGTTATCTCTAGACCTTTCCCAAACTTCTTAGTCTGCTCAAAGCTAGAGTTTCAGTGACAGCTCTTTCAGGGGGCTTTGGGTGGTACCAAATGGATGTCTTCACAGTGAGCTTTTCTTCTGCTCCAAGTGCAAACCCTCTATGCATTGCAGAGAACACCATCAAAAGAGGAGCCTTACCTGAACTTCTCCTTCGGGGTCTGAAGGTGAAAGTTGCTTTGCAGCACCCAGCATTTCACTGTACTAATTCCTTTCTTTGGATCACCACCTCCTGGGTTTAGCAGCCCATATGCTGGGCTCACTCAGCTATACACCACTTGTTCATAACTACTGTGGGATCACAGGACTGCAACACTGCCTCATTTTTCTTAATCAGAAAAAATTATTTTGAAAATGTTAGAATCATATTAGGCACATTTTTTACCCCAAAATGGCATTTTTTTTAAAGGCCAAAGCATGCAGTTCTTAAACACTGGGAAAGACTAAAAACCCTTCCTTCTAAAGAGATACAGACATTCTGTTACCGTTGTGTCTGGGTTGCATACATGGGCAATCTGGAGACGTCCCCAGATGTGAACTGGGAATGTCCTCACCTTAGTTAGACCACATTTTGTCTATCCATTCACCCTCTTGGGTCTTTGAAGAAAACATTTCTCTTCCATTTTCACTGTGTTTACAGTCATTGTCTTCAAGTATCTGGGCCCTCTCATGATTCCTTTCTGTTATGGACTACATGTTTGTCTCCTGAAAATTTATATATTGAAACCCTAACCCCCAAGAGGATGTATTTGGAGAGTGGGGCCTTTGGCATATGTGAGGTCTTGAAGGTTGGGTCTTTGTGATGGGATTAGTTCTAAAAAGAGATACCCAAGTATTCTCTTCTTTGGACCTATTTCCACATTCATTTCAGCTTTTATAACATGTAAAGAAATAGGATGTTTCAGATGTGAGGAACAGCTTCCTGGCTCTGGTGTTCTATGATGTAAAGAGACCCACTTGCTCCCTCAGACTCCCCTTCCCCAAACACACACCTGGGCACACAGCATGAATATGGGTTTTCTCCCAGATGACCACCTTGCTGGTATCTTGGGAGCCTGACATAAGACAGGGAGTTTTAAGGTTCTGTATCAGTTTGGAAGGTGATACCCATTATATTACCTAGAGGGTGGGCATTCTCATCCCTGTGGTAGGGGATGGATAAGATCTGGGCTTTGGAGACTTTCTGGAACAGTGGGGAGTGCCCTCCCTGGTGGCCAGCATAGGCAGCTATGTTTTGGTAGATTTTTTTCAGTTCAGTTTAACTTGGTAACTATGGGGCATTTGAAGCAAGTTTTTTCTTCTCATTGTTTATTCATTTTTTTAAAATTTGTTTTTATTTTGCACTTTGGCCATCTTTTTAGATAATGAAATATATTTGTAAAATATCTAAAAGCCCTAGCTGTGTCTATTAGAATTCTAGAACACTTAAGAGTTCTAGAATTCTACAACACTTATAGATGTCTTTAAATTCTTGAACATCTGCCCCTGGCAGTTATAATCTTCCTACTGTTACATTACTCTCCATTCCCTTGGCAACCAGGTGGGTCAGGCACTCACCATGAGCCTGGGTTGTGCTGCTATCAGAGAAGGGCCGCTCCATGTGGTGCATCCCTGCCTCCCCCAGATGTACGGCTGTGTAGGAATCAAGGCTGACATGTATGTGTACATCCTTGTCTTTTATCTGAGATGCTGAGGGTCTGACACTTCTGTTGATTGCAGGGCTTACTCACAACTTTCTCACTGGGCTCATGCCTCCTGTTCTACCAGGCCCCTGTACCTATGGTGGTTGCTATAACTAGAGAGGCTTCTATAGCTATGAGACCTGCTATGGCAGTGGTCACTATTGCTATGGTGACAGTCCCTACTGCTATGGTGTTGCTATAGCAACGGTAGCAGTTCCTAGAGCTATGGCAGTCCATACAGCTACGTATATCTATAGGTGTCTATACACAAAGCAAATTGCAGCCTGTGATACACTGTACAGGGGGATTTCTGGTTCACTAGAAAGCTACTGTAGTCTCTTTGGTATATAATTGTGAACTCAGAAGGCAGGTGGGGATACAAAACATACTGAAGCTGAAGAGTCCACCAGTGACCTGTGAAATCGCCTCTTTGAGCTCTCTCTTCAGTTGTGGGAAAGAGGGGTGAATGTATTTGCACATGGGGGCTTGCAGATTTAAAACTCCTTGGAAATTATATGAAGAAGACTTGTTTGTTGTTTCATGATCCAGGAAGAATCACTATAAGATTTCTGACTGCATGCTTGGAATACTTTTTCTATGTATAAGTATATATTTGCAAATATTTGTGGTTTTTTAAAAAATAAAATAAAAATGAGATCATGCTATGCTGAAACCATTTTTTAGTCAGTGATACCCTGAATATCATTCTGTGTCATTAAAGGATATTATTCTAAAATATCATCTCAGTGATTGCATTATATTATGAAAAACCATAATTTCTTTAACCAGGACCCTAGCTTTGTAGAGAGACTCCTCCACCCCCAGGTTTGTGCTACTCTACACAGTGCTGTGATGAACATTGTCTTAGCCAAATGTGCACAACCCTAATTGTTTCTGTCAAATAAATTCCTAGCAGTCAAATGGCTGGCCCACAGGAGGTAGACACTTTTAAAGACACGATGTTTTCAGTGGTACTGCTGAATGGTTTTCCATTAAGGTTGTGCCAACCTCCATTTCTACCACTAGTAGGAAAACAGCTGCCTGTTTTCTCAAATTGTCACCTCCACTGGGCATTATAGTTTTGTCATCCTTGCAGATTTGTTCAGAACAAATCACTATCCTGTTTAAATAGGCATTTCTTTGAATCTAAAAGAGGTGAAACACTTTTTCAGTGTCTTATTAGACACTTTTAAAATATTTTGTGAATTGCCTGTTTGTGTCCTTTGCCCATTTTTTTTCCCTGGGGTCTGCATATTTTCTCATATATTTTAAGGACTCCTTTTACATTAGAGATTAGGAAGCCCTTATATATTCCATAAACATTTTATTTATTCATTCATCAGTTGATGAAACTTTGGGTTGTTTATAGCTTTTATGAATACTGCTATGAACATGTTTGTGCAAATTTTTATGTAGACATATGTTTTCAGTTGTCCTGGGTATATATCTAGAAGAGGATTGTAACTCCATATTTAACTTCTTAAGGAGCAACCACACTGTTTTCCATAGCAGCTGCACCATTTTACATACTTGCTAGCAATGCTTGGGGTTCCAGTTTCTTCACATCTTTACCAACACTTCTTCCTTTCTTCCCCTCTCTCCCTTCCCCTTGTCCTCTTCCCTTTCCCTTTTTTTGATTATAGTTATCCTAATGGATATGAGATGGTGTCTCATTATGGGTTTGGTTTGCATTTCCCCAATGACCAACAGTGTTGAACGTCTTTTTTTTTTTATTTTTTTTTTAGTTTAATCATTTTTATTTCAAGTGTATTTTAAAAATCATAAATGGGGTTTCATATTCCAACGTTGAAACATTTATCCTTCATAGCTTCAGAATTTGACAAGGAATTGTAGACCATGCTTTTCAAATCCAGTCTTCTTTGCTATTTTTCAAACTTCTGAGATCTAGTATTAAACTGTTCCATTCTAAATGTATGGTTTTAGATAACTATTATACACTTGTTGATAAGGGTTTTCTGAAAATAGTCTATCAAATATAAAGAATGGTTTATATCTAAGAATCAGCAGTGAGGGAAGAAATATTAAGACACCTATCAAGAAATCAATTATTCATTTAAAAAATAACAGAACCAGCGCTGCTCTCTGTCATAAAAGAGAATATGTAAAATTTATTTTTATAGACTTTGGTAATATTTTATTCCCCACAGAGGCCTTCAATCCTTTTACACACAGTAATCATCAGGACTTACTGAGTAAAAGTCTCAGGTATTAACCACGGCCCTAAAATGTGCTATTCCAAAGAGTAACAGGTTACTTTTGAGGAAAAAAAGCTGCCTTAGTAACTTACCTCAAATGTTTATTTTAAATAAAAATAGTTGATGAAAATATTTTTTAAATCAACTTTGGGTATAATACAGCATGCTGCCCATTAAACAAAAAAGGAAATCAAAACTTTCTTTCCTTTTAAAATGAGTTCTCCATCTTTACTTTTAAGATTACAACATATTCACCTTTTATGCTTGTTTGCTTTTTTTGACTGCCTAATCCAATATTTAAATTTTTTAAGGTCTGTATTTCAATGCAGTAAGAGTTATTTTTCAAATAATCTTCGTAACCCAGAATACAGACATCAGAGCAACACTCTCAAGTCACACTGTTTGACTATAACAGAGATGAAAATGGACGGATATATGAAGATAGGTATTCCCTCTGCTCTCTCTGAAGGTGAGCAAGCTTTTAACACATGAGCAACACGGAACTCCATGCCTCTGGAGCTCCTTTAAACTCAGAATGCTTCAATTCAGTAAGTCAATATATTATTCTTAAAAATTAAAGTTTGGTCACTAAGAAGGATTGAACAAAAATTATTCCCCTCCCATCAAACACAACCTGAAAAGTTCTATCAGGCCCTCTTCTCCCCACAAAAACAGGGAAGTAGCTGGGGCTGAAGACATTAAGTGTGACATTCCAGTTCCTAAAACATCGCTGCTATCTGCTCAAAGTCGTAGGTCTATGTATTTCCTTCTCCAATACATCCCCATTTATAAGTTTATTTCCACACATACAAACGTGCACATATGTGCACGTGCACACGCGCGCGCGCACACACACACACACACTCAATCTCAAGTAAGACACTTTTTTGTATTTGCTGATAAATTATGAGGATTATGAACTAGGTGTGTACAGGGTGCTTTGTAAACATCAGAGTCACTTGGGTCCTTTCCTCCATAAGCCTAAAATCAAATTATGCAACCTATGACCACTACTTTCCCAGACGCTGTTCACAGGCTGCATATTGACGAAGGGCAGAGAAAAAGTCCTCATAACTGATGTTTAGGTGGGAAGGCAAAGAGACAATCTCAGTCAATCTGATGTGCCAGGGAAGAAAGCCTAATGTGCTGTCCACAGGACCAAACTTCAATACTAAATCAGGATCAGGACAACCATTTGAACTAAGTAAACTGCCTAACATATCTACATCCAAATCTGTGGGTCTCTTTTGCTTCTGGGCTACTAACTGGCAGAAGTCCTGAGCAGCTCTCACAATATCTGCTTTTCCATCTTCCGGAGACAGCACCTTCACTGCCAAATGGCAATTTAAAACTTGATCATCTTTGTCATTACTATTTGCAAACTCTGGTGAATATTTTGAACAATCTAGGCCCAGAAGTTCCTGCTGTTGTTTTAAAATTTCATCCATCAATCTGGAATTATTTCTTTTGAAAATACCTCGCCCCCGCCGCCATCTTCCTCCTCCCTTGGCAGCCCCCGTTGAACGTCTTTTCATGTGTTTTTTGGCCGTTTTTTTGTCCCTTTAGAGAAACGTCTATTCACATCCTTTGCCCATTTTTAGATTTGATGATTTGCCTCTTTATTACTGACCTGAAGGGTTTCTTTATATATTTTCAATACTAGATCCTTATCAGATACATATTTTGCAAATATTTTCTCCTATTCTGTGGGTTGTCATTTTACTTTCTCAATGATGTCCTTTGAAGCACACAAGTTTGTAATTTTGACAGAGCCCAATTTTGTTTTTCTTTTGTTGCTTGCACTTTTAGTACTAAAGTTTTTACTTTTGATCTGATCTTTTCCATTTTGAGTTTCTGGCTTTAGTATCATATTTAGAAAGTCAATTTTTACCCCAAGATAATAGAAATTCCTTACCCCTAAATTTTCCTGTAGTGCTTTTATGCCTTCATCCACTTTATTTTTCCTGGGAACTGATCTTCATGGATGGTATTGGGTTGGATAATTTATTTTATGCCAATAACTCATCACCAGCACCATCTTTTGCACGGTGTGCATTTTGTAAAGTAACTGGGTTCAGCCTGTGCCTAGAGAAAGTGAGCAGAACTCAGTAGCCCAACATGGCTCAAAGCCATGACCTTGGCTTGGCTAACTCCAGTGACAGGCCTGAGTGGCTGACTTCAGGTTCATGCAGTGAGAAAGAACAGGATCTAAGATGACTGGCTGTTTTTTCTTTGCCTCTGTTTTCAGTTCATATGCCCATCTAAGAAGACTTGCCCACAGGATGGGATCACTTTTTGAGGAGGAAGAGAAGCACATTTTATTTGTCTCAAGACAGGACCTCCAGCAGTCACACGTGGTCAGATAGTTAGGAACTACTAGAGTTGTGAACTATTGAGCTTTTGAGTCTTTGAAAGGCTGGGAGGTCAGCCCTTTTCTCCATTTGTCCCTGGGGGGAAATTAGGAAGGGGTTCAACCTGTTTATATTTCTTATCACAGCCTGTTGCTCAGCAGTCTTATGATGTTTAAGTTGCTGTAATCCTCATAGCCAAGTACTCCTAAGGGAAAGGAGACTTGAGAACACTGTTTCATTCTGCCTGGAGATGAAAGAAAAGGTTGAATTACTCGGAGTCCAGAAAAAAATGGAAGTCTAGTGACATGAACTCATTAACAGAGGATGCCATGACGACAGCCACCTCCAGCACAGCAGACGGGACCTCTCTGTTAATCTGGCTGTGCACAGTGACCCCCATCTTCCTGCTTGTTATGCTTTCTCCAACAGCAATGAGTGTGTGTGTATGTGTGTGCGTGTGTGTGTGTGTGTGTGTGTGTTTTGTAAATGCTAGTGCTCTTTGTTTTGTTAGTAACCATCCATATCCAATCAGGGCTCTTTATGAAATGCAGACTGCTCAAGGATTCAGCCTTAGGTGGGAAGATAACAAACCTCATTTTTCCCCAAGTATCTTTTTTTAAAATAGGCTTTATTTTTTGGATCAGTTTCACAGAAAAATAGGAAGGTACAGAGAGTTCTCATATTCCCCTACCCCCACATGCGCTCAGCCTCCCCAAATGTCAGTACCTCCCCCAGCCCTGCCAGAGGGGCATGTTTTTCCAGTCTATGAACCACCATTCCTCCTGACTCTTTGACTGGTGAAAGAAATGTTGGAGCTCATTTGCCTTCAACATCCCAGGGTGGTTTTCCCTGAGAACCCTGGGCTCTGGGAACACAGTCTTTCTCCATTAATGAGTGTTCAGCCCTGAGAATAAGGTGGCATGAACAGTGAACTCAATGCTAATTAAGGTCCTGAAATGGCACCAGTTGCTTGTCAGGGAGTAGCTGTCTGGGCATGGGGTGTGTGCAAGTGTGTGTAGATTTGTGTGCCCACCACCATAGTCAAGATACGGAACAGTCTGTCACCACCAGGCTCCTGCCTGTTGCTCATTTATAATCACAGCCAACTCCCTCCCAACTCTCACCAGGCTCTGCCAGCATTCATCTGTTCTCCATCTCTGTGATACTTCAGATCCTTTTGAATCTCAAAATAGTGGATACGGGATTGTGAGCCTATATTTGTTTATGTTCCAAGAATGACTTCGGCTATAGTTGAGGCAGTGGCTACGCCAGAGAACCGTAGTGGTGGCAAAATTTAGAATCAGGCTTTCCTGGCACAGCCCCCCGCCCATTTATGGTGGGGCCACTAAGTGCAGCTGCCCCACTGGTAGCAGGAAGGTGAAATAGAATACTGTGCCCGAAAAGTCCAGAATTCAGTGCATGCTCAGGGGAAGGTGGCTGCCATTTTAATAATAAAAAGTTCCACCTGGTGGCCTGGGCGTTGCGGGTGGTGGGTATAAGAAAGCAGGTCTCGTTATTGCAGTCCAGTAGAAGCCCCCGGGTGATCACTGGTTGGGGTCTTGCCGCATAGGTGGGATTGGAAGGGCCAGGACTGCCATCCGTCTCAGCTTGAGCCTGAGCTGGCTCGTGGCAGGTAGTAAGTGGTTTTGTCTTTTCTCCAGGTGACGGCCGGTACGGCAGCAGTGATGACCCTGGATCTGGTGGGTTTCTGAATCCTGAATCTCCTGTTGGCCATGTGAAAGGAAAATAAATCTCAGGACCCCAAAATTACTAAGCTAAGGGAAAAGTCAAGCTAGAAGCGGCACCAGGCAAACCTGCCTCCCGTTCTGTTCCTAAATAAGACCGCCACAAAGATGTAAAAAGCTGCCTACCTCCCTCACAATTTGCTTACAGGGAAATTTCTTATGGGCCTCAAGATCTTTACCCTAAAACAGCTCTGTTGGATTTCACCCTGGAGATGTAAACTGATAGCTGATCTTTAATGAGAGAGAGAGAGTCAGCCCTCTGTTCCCCTGAGACAAATACGTATCTGATTGCTTCCTCTGCCCAATAGCTTATGTAAAAATGCAAATTCACTGAGCCAGACTAAATTGTGTATTCAGTGAAAGGCTGGTCAAGGAATCAGAAGAATGCAACCTTTTGTCTCTTTCTCTTATCTTCCTATGACCTGGAAGCACCCCACCCCCACCCCCTGCTTTGAGTTGTCCACCTTCTGGACCAAACCAATGTACATCTTCCACGTATTGATCAATGTCTCATGTCTCCCTAAAATGTATAAAAGCAAGCTCTGCCACGACCACCTTGGCACATGTCACCAGTGCATCCTTAACCTTGGCAAAATGAACTTTCTAAATGGATTGAGGCCTGTCTCAGATATTTCACAGCAACTACAAGGAGAGATAGTGCTGGCCCACTGTTGTCTCGGAGGTAGCCTTCCCCTGAATGTTTCCAATAGATAATCATGAAGCCAGTAGAGGAGTGTAGCTATTTGAAGGAATGAAGCTTGGAAATTGGGATCCTGGAGGAAGCAGTGCCGTGGGAAGCCTGTGGGGCCTTAGTCACAGAGAGGATGGCACCTTTCCTATGTCTCCCTTTGAAGCTTCTCAAAAGTGAAGTCCTTACAGAAAACGAGAAGTCCTAGGCAAATCCAGGGGACACCATGTCCTTGTAATGCCTTACAGCTGTGTGGCGTAGCCCTCTCCTGCTGGCTTGGGGGCTGTGGGCGTCTGAATTTGGTGCTTAGTTTCATGCTAGAGGAGAAGCAGGCTCCCGGGCTGCTCCCTGCCGTGCTTTGGCTCTGACCTTACCTATTCTCATTTCTCTCCTTTCTTCACGCAGACATGGTGGCAGAGACCGGCACCATTGCCGGGGTGGCCAGCGCCCTAGCCATGGCCCTCATTGGCGCCGTCTCCAGCTACATCTCCTACCAGCAGAAGAAGTTCTGCTTCAGCATTCAGCGTAAGTCCAGCCACCCACTCATGACTGGGAACCAGCTGGCAAGGTCTTTGGAGGGAAAGGGGCTGGGACAGATCCAGACCCCTCCACAGCCTGCCTGAGACCCACTCCCAAACAGACTTCCTGGGATGGGGGTGGAGGCTATAGTTTTGGAAATCCCTGGGGACAGATCTAGGCTGAATTAAAATGTAAACCAGCCTACAGGAGTGGATGGGGCTGGCCCTGATGACCTTCACCTTCCAGGGGCCCCAGCTCCCAGGGGTATTTCTGTGGGGACAGAGTTCAGTGACTGTTGTGATGTTTCCTTCACATAGAATGGGAGGGACCTGGGCTGCACCCATAGCTTCTGATCTCAGCCAAGGAGATGAGGGCCTTTGGAGGCCCTGCGTCACCAGCTCCTTCCCCTGCTGCTGGCTCCCTCAGGAGCAGGAGGCAGCACTTCCTGGTGGTTTGCAAAGCACAGTCCTTATTCCTCTGGCAGTGCCCCTGTCACAACCTGAGAAGTCACCGCCTGGTGCTTTTCCCCCAACGAGCCACGAATTATGTGGAATCATGAATTGTCCAAAGAAGTAGGAATGGGAGAGAAAGAATGGTGTGGTTTGCTCCCCACCAGCCTTTACTAGGTTTTTAAAAGTCGGTTTTCATCTCATGCTGTAGCTGTGAGTCTGGAGGTCGTGGATTAATGGAATCCTGTCTTCACCCATCAGTGGCCACATCAGGGAGCTCTGTGGGGAGGCGGTTGAGGGAACAAGGCGACCTCGCTTGTCCATTTTATAAGCACAGATTGATGCTGTGTCCCTGTTTGCTGAGTGGAGCGTGTCTCCGGTTCAAGGCTGGTGATTTTCAGTTCCAGCGACAGGATGTGACTCAGCTGTAGCTTGTCTCTTTACACTCCTTCCTCAGCCCCGTGGATACAATGGGCAGCTTAGAAACAACCCATGCGGGTCTTCCCTGACCCTTGCTATGGTCCTCTGCCCTTAATTTTAGCCTGGGGCTGAGCCGCCCAGAAAACTAACCTGGGTCCCAAGATGTTTTACTGAAGTCTCCAACTGTTTATTCATCTGAGCATCATATTTGTTGATTTCACTCTTGTAGAACGTTCTTGACCAGGGTGACACATACAGCATGCACAAAAGTACTGAAGGAGCACATTCACATATCAGTGCACAACATGTAAAACTGTTCAT